ACTCAGTTGTCACAAAAATCTATGTTTACGTTCCCTGCCTATATACGTTTGAACGGCTGTTAAGTAAAAACTGCATTTAACAGGGTCATTTTATGGTAAATTAGTAGCGCATTTTTCGTTGAATGCTATGACGAATGAGTCAAACATCCTGTGTCATCAGTTGTTTAAAGAACGTATCTCAAGTTCTATCCTGTTGTTTATCACATCGTAGTGTCGCTTTAAAATTGTAACTTACAATTTCCTCTGTTCGATTTCTTAAGCTTGTAAAAATACTGACGTGGGCGACACTTTAAGCTGAAGTGGCAAAGTGACTTAATATAGAGTTCAATTTCTTCTTGTTCCGGCCATCATGCAGTTGACAAAGTAGATTTACTACCTGGATGATATCTTCCTAATGTATTGCTTAACGGCCAGTCCTCTAGGGCCCTAACAATCAACACAGGCTTTCTCTAGGGCTCCTTTCTATTATCTAACCTCATTTATTTTACATAAATAATCTGCTTTAGAGTATTCTCTGATCATTTGGGAATATTTATGCTGATGATATAAGTATATATGGGTGCACCTCCAAAACTCTAGATGACCAAACCTTAGCAGATGATCTCTCCTACGGCCTAGTTCTAACATCTCGGCTTTCAAAACAGGTTGGGTACACTCAGTGCCTCTAAAACCAAACTAGTTATATTCCATCATTACCGATCAGACCCGGGACCACCGCCAGTCACGATGGATGTATGTTCCCTCAACTTAACCCAAACATCAAGTAGAACTCGTATATACGATTCATTGTTAAAATGCAGGAAAGATGGCCGGTTTCCTGTGTCGCTCAAGTAAGTACTTTACTCTTCCTGATACCCTCGACCTTTACAAGAGCTAGATCAGGCCTAAAATGGAGTACTGTTGTGATATTGGGATAGGAGCTGCCCAGTATACACTTTCCAATTTCGACAGAATCCATCTTAACCTGTTCAAGTCTGGGGTTAACCGTCATCTTCCACACATATCCGCGTAAACCGCGCATCTTACTTTGTAACCCTCTATCTCAAGTAGCTCGCAGGCCTTTTACAGGATGAAAACCACAAATAATAAATTTAATTAGTATCGATACAATCATTATTTATCTCGAGATAATTTTGTCATTTTTTTTTCTAAATGAAAGTAGTCTAAAGTATTTTTTATCATTATTATGAATATGAATTTAATCAAAACCTCAGCACCGTTTTCATTATACAGGGTGCAGCAGAAATACCTCCCACATTTTAAACTGTCACCTGTGTAGTGCTATTGAACTGAGGCAAGTTGCCATGATGTCTTCATCTAGCTAATGTCTTACCATTTTTTCAGATATCATCAATTATTATCATAGCTTGGAGCGGTGCATGCCGTGCTTTTGCTGTTGAAGCGTTTTTGTTTTGCTTGTTTTTTGTTTTTTGTTTTTGTTTTTTGTTGCTGTTGTTTTAAAAATGGTGAATCTGTAATTGCATTAGAGAGAGCTTTTCGTGCTCATTTCATGTTACGTCAGAATGATGCTGTACACGATAGAAAATCGATACTGCTTTGGTTCGAAAATTTCATGGCCACAGGTTCAACGCGTAAGAGAAAGCCATCTGGAAAATTCCGGAAACGTTCGAACTCCCGAAATAGAAAAAATAACCAATGGTGAATAGAGGCCACCATTTGGAGGATGTCATTTAAAAAAAAAAAAAAAAAAAATGAATAAAAATTGTAGCCCTTTGTTTAAACAACAGAGAGATATACTTTTAATGGCAGTTACCTTGGTCTTTTTGTCAACGTTTAGAATATGGGAATTATTCCATTTGCATCCTCTATTTATTAATTTCAAAGAACTTCTGGACTGTTTCAACAAACATCAGCTTCGTAGTTCTCTGGCATGGTTCTGCTGATATTGACAAAATTCTTACGCTTCATTCACTTTTTCGTTCATGTCTACGGGACTGGCTTCATCCACTGGCCGAATTGATTTTAAGATCAATATCTGGTTCGTAGTCCTGAATTGTATGGTCTGTTCGAATTTCAAAGAATCATATATTTTTTCCTTCATCATAGTTTGAGCTTTATGCTTATAAAATTGTTATTTGAATTTGCTGAGTCTTCGCTTGAATTGTACCTGACGAGCTTTTACTGGAGGTCAAATGTCAGCGTATATACTCGATATTCCAACACGCCTTCTGATTTTAATACCAATGCTGTGTGAATAGCTTGAATTCTTTCTAAAAGTCCCAATCTTATTTGTTTTTGGGGGGTTGGGGGCGGTAAGTCTCTCCGGAACCTCGACAAAATCCAGAGACGGATATGCAACGTTAAAAAAAAATCTGTACCAAGTTCAAGAATAAGAATTTTCTCAATATCTGGAAATATTCCAGGAAACTGCGATGGTGATGATTGTACGTATCTTTATTAGAGTATTTTAAACAAACCGGAAGATCTTGGCAAAAAATAAAATAAAAATAAAAGTTTTAGATATTCAAGGAAGGCAATAGCATTGAAATTAACAAATAGAGGATGACATCTTTAGATTGCATATATGAGCTTCCCTTAAGGTCCGGGGGAGAGCTTAAATTCCAATGGGCGTTCAAGACAATTAGCCTCCTTAAGAGAACACCCATCTATCATGACAAGTAAAAGTTTGGGGTTTGATCATAGCAGACAAGAAGAAAAACTAAATTTTAAACGAAATGCAAAAAATAAAAATAAAAATAAAAACGAACAATCGTTATCTTCTAATATCTCACTAAGTAAATATTTCCGGGATTTTAGTAGATAAGGATTAAGTTTAGTATTTACATTAGTCGGACTATTGTCCTCATCTTTGTCACCATATTTGTCACAACGTTTCGGCCGTTGTACGCTCCGGCCTTCTTCAGGTGATTGGAATTTCGAACTGAACCCTTTATTATCCACTGTGCCATGTGTCCTCAACACGAAATAATAATACAAGACGTGGAAGGTGTTAGTATGACTGTCAGTCTGGTTGGGAGTGAACTACTATTGGCTGGACTCGATTCGGTATCTAGCCACCCCCCACGAGGGTTGCATAGGACACAAGGCCGAGTTTAACGTGGGTTTCTCGATCCCGTAGGCTCGGCCAAAAAATGCCCGTAGAACCTGTATAAACGGGATCGGGTTGGTCAACCTCCCCGAACGAGACTCTGCCCTTCGGTGGAACCTCGTCCGTGTTCCAATCTGCACAGAGGCAGAGAGTTCGACCGTCAAGCCGAGAAGCTCGGCTTGAATCGACCCTCTCTCTTGAGAGGCGTAGTATACATAGTGTTAGAAAGAGTTCATTCTGTAGTTATAGGTAAGGACCCATGACAGAAAACATAAAGAAAAATCGCATGCCAGATATTTGGATTGTAAACAAAGAATTTAATCGGTGAAGATCAAGAACAGAGGAATTAAGAGTAATCAAACGTCTTAGAAGAGACATAGTATTATGTTTTATGTTTTATGAACCATCCTGGAACACACCTTGGTCTTTCTCGGTTAAAATCAGCCGTGCATTTGCATTTCTCTGTGTCTGTGTCCAAAATTCAGATGGCTTCTGTCAATTCAGCTGTCAGACTTCCGTCCTTTTCTCCTTTCCTTACTTCAATATTTTGGTTCACTTTTTGGTAAACAAACGGATATTAATGCACTGGGATCGATAATAAACGCAGTAAAATAGATGGATCGATAGAGAGATAGATAAATAGAACGGATGGAAAGACAAACTGTGATAGATAAAGAGACTGAGATAGATAGATAGATAGATAGATAGATAGATAGATAGATAGATAGATAGATATGAACAAACTGAGATAGATATGAACAGACTTAGATAGATAGATAGATAGATAATGAACAGGTTGAGATAGATAGATAGATAGATAGATAGATAGATAGATAGATAGATAATGAAAAGTTTGAGATAGATAGATAGATAGATAGATAGATAGATAGATATAAATAGACTAAGATAGATAGATAGATATAAATAGACTAAGATAGATATATAGATAGAGAGAGAGGGAGATGAACAAGCTGATAGATAGATAGATAGATAGATAGATAGATAGATATGAACAAACTGAGATAGATATGAACAGACTTAGATAGATAGATAGATAGATAGATAGATAGATATATTACCGTTTGTTTAAATGATCAAGAAGGAAAGTATTAAGTGATGTATCAGGAAAGTCATATCGCCAAATTTGTTGGCTGCTATAGTGAAGTTGTTCGCCTACTGATCTCGAAAGACGTTGATAATAGTTTCCGTCATCACTTTATAAACATTTTTATCCAGTTTCACAATATTTAGGTTACATGATTGTATTTACATACATAATTTTATTGATAGGAATTAGGATCAATTACAGATCAAATATGAATCAGAATCCGACAGAATAGTGTGATAAAGAGCAAATAGGAAACGTTTATAAAACTTTTATAAACTTTCTTATAAATCTTTTGCTTTTATTAAAGTTTCATCAGAGAATGATATATGGAAAAAAATGGAAATTCTGGTATATTTTATTTTTGTGTTTTTGATTTCCATTGGTTCAGCGGGTTCCATGTGCATTTGACTTGTTAAGCAGTGTTAGTAAAAGTTATGGCATTCTAAACTCAAGGATAGATGATGCGTTTTTTCGAAACTTCAAAAACCATATATATATTGTTGAAACTTGAATAAAACATGGAATAATAATAATACAACACAAAATGTACTTAAACAAAATGTATTGACACAAGAACGTGTACACAATTATTTACAGATCGTTTGGTATATTCTTGGGAAGACCGTTCCTGTAGAATGGGTTGACTTAGTCGCAGAGTCTCTGGTTTGGATCTCTTCTTCCTCCCCGTCTTCCCGGTACCAACCATATTTATATGGTCGGTACTCCACTATGTAAATTAGGTGGATCGTACCAAACATATATATATATATATATATATATATATATATATATATATATATATATATATATATAATAAATCAG